TGCGATTGGCACAGGACAGAGCGGAGTTTAGGGCTGTTGTACATAGGGTCGCTATGAGTCGCAAGCAACTCGACGGCACATAACAACAACAACATGTATGGACAAAAGAACCAACAAATTTATCTTAGTACAGATGCTTCCAGAATGCTCCTTAGAAGCAATGATAGTAAGATTTTTCTCATATGCATTTGTTATTAAGAGGAATTAGACCCTGATAAAGGATATCTTGCTTATGAAGTAGAGCACAAGCAGAAATGAGGAAAATTTTCAGTGAGAAGATTTGATACAGTAACTGCAACAATAGGTATAAAAATGACAGTGATTTTAAAGATGGCATAGGTTTGGGTAAGACTTCATTCAGAATCATTGAATTGGAGCATACACTTAGAGCACCTAACAATGATACTTAATTTCCAAACATATAAAGCCTTTCTGATATTTATTTAGTTTTAGCTTGATTTCCTCATGATAAGAATACATATCATTTATCATTTTAATTCTCATTCCACATGTTCTAGTCTTTCCCCACAAGAATGTTGGTCTTTATAACCTAGTCCACCCTTACCAGAAACAGATACCTACATACCAAATTGCAAGTAAATAACAGGAATATTTTCCTAGGTAATTTGTGGATATTTAGCACATTGTTGTTACTGAGTACATTTACATTTTAAGTAAACTAAGTGATTATGTATATTACATGCTTATACCTTTGTGTTGCTATGACAGGGGCGGTTATTGGTGTCTGGCCCTACTTCTCAGTAGTGAGAAAGAGACAGACAAATTTGGTTTGGGCCATATTATCTGCAAATAATGATATTTAAGCTTTTGTTTTCAATTTATTTATTTTTAATTATATAACATATCGCTTCTAAGGTAGTGTGTTTTTTAACTGAAAATAGGACATAGAGGCACAGGGCCATGAGTGTCTCCTCTAAAGAGACAGTTTGTTTGTTTGTTGTTATGTGCCATCGAGTCGTTTGCGACTCATAGCGACCCTAT